CCATTTGTCAGTTATTTTCCTTTCGGTGTTCCTGTGTATCTGCATTTTCCTATGTGCAAGGCCCAAGCACACTTCCTCCCTCAGCCAAAATAGCACCCGGAGCTCTCCTAACGCCTCAGAGGCAGTTGGTGGTGAGCGGCGGCGGCAGCGGGGCTCTCCTGGGTGGCAGGGCTGGCTGCAATGGGTTACCGGCTGCTTGCAAGAAATCGTGGGAGCCTCAGTGGACCTGGGGTCCTGTGGTTTGACGTGGGACTGTAACATCATCACGTGCAGAGTCTGTGGGTGCTTGCATGTACAGTTTGGGGCCTGGCTCCTTGCTCCATGCAGGAAAGAAGATGAGGGACCACAAGGGATTCTTGTTCTTATAAGTGGTCAGGAAAGAGGGGGGATTATGGTTGATTTGGGGAACAGGAGGATGTAATTCTTAGAGAGAAAGTTGTAAGAACCATTAGTGAAGAGCAAGTGAGGATGAGGGATGAGTTGCTGTAACCTGGACAGAGAAGGCAGGCTCAGATGCCTTAAAGAAGCAAAACACCGATTACACCAGAGATGACTGCTGCTCTTTTCTTTGTGGGGCACAGGTAAGAAAATGCTGAGCAGCAGACAAGCAGCAACACAGGGTTTGGTGAGGTGAGTAAGTGAGAAGATAAACTCTCACAATCACCCCACGCCATACTTTGAGCAAACAGCCAGGCCGGAGTGGCCAGGGGAGCGGTGGGGGCACCGCCTTGGGGCAGCAGGCTGCACTCCAGCTTAGTTTTGCTGATCACCTGCAGCCCACGTGAGCCGTGTCTTGCGGCAGGGAGCTGAGTCTGCAACGGGACTTCCCAAAGGCACCAAGCCCCAAGCTGGTTCCCTCTGGACTTCATCTTCAGGGCCAAGAGCATTCCCCTGGGGCAGAGGTGGCCACCCCTGCCATGGTGCAGGGGCTGCAGCTTTGCCCCCACCTGAAAGCATGTTCCAGTAAAGGCTGGGGTTCTTCACTGCTTTCTACTTCTCTGATTATTTAGCTCAGAAGGGAAGCTGTGGTTGGAGATACTTTGTTGTTTTGGAGAACTGGGCTATTTCTCTGCAAAAATAAAGGAAATTGATCCACTCACTCAGGGGAGGGGTAGACAGAGCAATTCCCGCTTCCTCATATTTGCATTTGTTGCCTCTATCCCAGCTCTCTGCAGCTGGCCTCACAGCAGCTGGCTGCAAACCCCAGCTCAGAGTCAGGCCAGTACAAGAGCTGGGTTTGGCCGCCCTCCTCGTGAGCCCCTTCCCTCTGCTCCTTCTGGGCACGACAGCTTTTCTCTGCTGGTTTTTGGGCACGGATGATCTGCGCTCACCGGTTAGAGAAACACTTGTTCCCAGTAGGAAACTGGGAGTGCCTGGGATGTGCCAACTCCCGCATGCCCTAGGCAGATGCGCTCAGCGTTTTTTTGCTAGCACTTTCATCCTCGCCCCTCCTGCCCAGGGCATCGGGCTGCCCCCGGCTCCCCCCGACGCAGCCCCTGGTGCCCTGGCCTCCTGCCTCGGGGCTCGGGGCCAGTGCGGCTGCATGGGGCGGCCCTGCCTCGCACCTGCCTGTGGCTTGGCCAGGGCGTTGACAATCCTGCAGTGTCAGTCTCTGCCAGTGTTACAGCGCTCGGCACGGCACAGCCCAGGGAAATGGGTGCCTCTTACTCTTCACCTTTGTGCTCCTGTGTGGCTGGGTCATTTATTGCCTGTTTACTCAGAAGTGCTGTGCGGGTTGCAGTGCTCACCTGGCACACATGCGTGCTCCAGACCTGCCTCTGTTCAGAGCTGGTGGGGCACCGTAGGCTGCGGCGTGGGGAAATGAGGTCTGTGTTTTCTTCAGTCAAAAGCCAGGGAGAATCAGCCTGTGCCCAGTCTGCTGTTCTCATTCCGGAGTCATTGCAGGGCATTTACTTATACATGGGTGATGGGGTGTCATGGGCTTGGGGTGGATAAGGAACGTCCTGGATCAATCTGGGGTCAGCATGTGCGGCTGGGCTGAGAACAGCCTCTCCCCACAGCATCCCTTGGGAGGACCAAAGCCGGGGAGTTTGACGCTCGTGCCTTTGTGCTGGAGGATGTTGTCATGCTTCGGGTCCCCACAGACACTCGGATCATGACAGTATTTGGCTGGCAGCACATGAGAGCTAGCAAAATGGGTTTTGGCCTAAATCTTCAAACAGCTCCCTGCTGCTCGTGACGTACTCCAGCAGGTCCCTAAGCACACACGTCCCCCGCCACGCAGCCCTCCTGGGGCCCTGCAGGGCTCACAGCTCCAGGCAGTGGAGCCGCGGCTCACCTTGCTGCTCTCCCAGCTCTGGGGTCTTTGTGGGCACCAATTTCCACTGCCACATTAAACTTTACATTTAGCTTTGGGAATAGCATCTCCCCAGTGCTGCTGACCTGAGCATGGCAACAGCTCCAGTGGGGCTGGAGGCGGCGAGTGCCCAAGAAAACCCTCAGAAGCCCCCGTCCCCCTGCCTGCAAGTCAGCAGCCGGTGCCCGGCTCAGGTAGTGGCTGGGGGAAAGCAGAAGCAATGTGAGAGCGGATGTATCTGTACATCCATTGGGAATACCCCCAAGGGAGGTTTGCCGCTGTGTATAGCGAGTAATTGGTATTAACAGGGAAACGGGGAGTGTATGATTGGGTCAAAATAGTCCTTACTGGGATTTCCATGTTTTATTTGAAAACTTCAAATTGTAGCATGAAAGTGAAAAACACTTTGTTGTAAGATACTTCCAGATACTTTAGTTCAGCAAAATTAAAAAAATATAAAAACTTCCCAGGCAGCTTCCCAGCTTTTGGCTTT